GTTCAGAGGAGCATTATAATGGGGTTATGGAGAGTAAATTTGGTATATTACTTATTTCATAGATTTAAGTAACGTACATACTGATCAAGGTTAGTTCTCTCTTTTTTTTTTTTTTTTTTTTTAGGGGGGTGAAATATCTCAGATTGTGTTTCTTCAATTGTCTTTCCAAAACCTGTTGATTTTTCTCTTTTTGTTTTTTCAAAACCTGCCTTTACTTTTCACACTGAGGTTTAGATGGTTTGACTTCATAATCAATCGGACTCCCCTTGTGAGCTATAGGCTGCTATGTCTATCATTGATGGTGATAATCATGGTCAACTTAGGAATTTACTTTTGAAGATGGAAACTATTTAAACTGTTTAGTCTGTTTCTATATTATTGTCTTGCCATTTGAATATTTTTTAATTACTCAAGGTCCAAAAAACTTCTTTTTTTAACTGTTAACTTTTTATCATTCATTAATGCCCATTGGGAGGAACTACCGATTCTAATAAGTTTCTACATGGTATAAGTTTTTTTTGGATGACAGTTTCATTTTTTACATGTAAATAAGGAGCTTATTGGTTTAGATGTTAGAGTTGTGTATGAAGAATAGGACTCAATTTTAATTATGGTGGATCTACATTATTCTTGTGTGGCTACATGTCTAGTGATTTGTGCTGGTTATAGGTTGAACTGTTTGCTTATAGAGGTTTTTGTTGAAGATGAAGCTACATGGTATTTGTTTTGCGGGTTGAAAATGACTTTCCATTGTTATGATATTCTGCCATTGTTATTATCGGTCTTTTTGAATCTCATTTTGTTTTGTGGTTTCTAATTTTAGTCCAAGTTCCTTATTGAGGAAAGTTATAAAAATGGAAAATGAAAAATGGAAAATGGAAAGTTATAAATCAAGAGTTGGATTATGACTGATGTTAATGAAAAATGGAAAAGCTATAAAAATGAGCTAAAAAGTGCAAGATTTGATCCGTTGCTAATAGTAGATGAAATATATGAAAAGATTAATGATCCTCGAGTTGATAAGGATCAATTCGAAGTGCTTGTTGAATATTGGTGTAGTGAGAAGGGAGAGATCTGATAATTTTGTTGTGTAGTTGAAATATTGCCTAATTTTCTATTATCACAAATAACTTATACCTTTTGTTTTCTTCTAGAAAATTAGCAAACAAAATAAAGAAAACAGGCTAAAACTTGAAGAGCCCCATTACCTAGGCACCAAGACTTTTGCACGATTTGTCAATGAGAAGATAATTGATTTTTTCTGCTCAAGCTACTTTATTAAAAAAAGCAATGTACACACTAATCAAGTGATAATTGAAATTAATTTAGGGCATGATGTTAGATTAGTAATAAATTAAATTGTTATCCTAACTTCCTTTTTTTTAGTATAATTGCTTAAAGGTATATTAGAATTTTATTATTTATTGCTTTTTTATTTTCCAAGAAAGCTCTACTAAAGGGAGAAAGCCGTCAAGGGCTGAACTCTACATTCAAAGTCAAACAAAAAAGGAAGGGGGACCTGTAAGTGAAAAGGCAAGCCAAGTGATGGTTAGTAAACACAAACTCTGTGTTTTTAATGATGTATGCTATTCTTCATGGTATAAAAAAAATAATGAGTTATTTTTGGGTTAAATGTCATAAGAATAACTTAAAAACTACATGAGTGAGTCTATTTCTTCTACAAATGCATTAAAGGAAACTACATCTTGGCAAGATGATGTATTCTCTAAGGTGAAGGGATCTGACAAGAAAGGGAGGGTTCGCTGCTTAAGGAAGGTCCTAACTTCCAAAAAATCTATCCCTTCCACGGTTGCAAACTACAATGTTGAGGAAAGGTTGAGCGAGGTGGAGAATATGTTGAGTGGATTAATGCAGCTAATGAAGGCAAGATTCTCGGACGAGAATATCACAGATATTCTACAAGTTGCCAACCAATTAAGTGCTGTCAACAGATTGGATAGGGAGGTAAAGTTCTTTTGTTCAACCATTACAACTTGACATTCTTTTTCTTTGTATTCTTGCATATATATGGTTTGGTAGATGACAAATAGATTTATCATTTGGAGCTTTGCTATGACATATTTTACTTTTTGTTTTTATTTTCTTTATTCATTTTGATCTTTTCAACCGAATCCTTTCATTTTATTTCTATTAATTTTTTGTTTCTTTATAAGTAATTGGCCCTAATCATTTTATCTCTTAAGTTAGGAGTGTTTGTGGTAAGATTTCGATGCTTATAAAAAAAATAATTGTTAGATAATTTTTTATATAATTTTAAATATTTTTAATAATTATTTATTTAATAAGATATAAAAATTATATAAGGAGATTATTTCCTTATATCATTACCATTTTAATAAAGTTAGCTTCTGTTTTGTCCTTTTATGTACCTCTTCAATCTTCTTTTCTTAGTTTCTCATCTCTTATATTTTAGTTTTTGGTGAGTTTGTGTTTTTGTTCTTTTCAATTTTCATTCCAAATCTATACTCATTGAATTTTATCTTTCAATAGGCACATATGGACCATCAAGAGGTATCTCATACTTACATATACCTCTTTGTTTGGGTTTCACTATTTTTTAAGTTTAATTTTTGAAATCTATTTTTTTTTTATTTCTTTTGATTGAATTTTTAAAATTTTAGTTATCCATTAATTTCTTCCTACTAAATTGTAGGTTCTGAATGCTAATAGTGGGCAAGGCTTTTCCCCAAATAATCATTCCTCTTCACAACCAAGCCATCACCTTTTGTCTCACCAAAATGAAAGTAATGAAGAAAATGACGGGCAAAGGGATTGAAAGGCATGTTTGTGTCTTCCTGCTTGACAGTTTAAAGACTAATGACTTTCTAGTTTGATAGATGCATTTTCTTTTGGACAATTTTACAACTTTCGATATAAGATACAAGCTATTTTTTCAAAATGCTAATATGGATGGTTCATGTAACTAGTGACATGCTTATGATATGCATTTTCTTATTGTTATTAATTCTCTTATAAATATTCATAATTTTTCTTGAATAATATTCCAAAACCCATCCTCTGTTTTTCTTGGTTCTAGGGTCAAAAGTGTTTCTGGGTATGAATCTTAGTAACAGGAAAGGATCCATCTCCATGGCTAGTCCCAGCGCCTATTGGAGGGCTGGAGATGGCATTCCCAATCAATTTCCGGTGGGTCTGAGGGTTCTAGTTGTTGATGATTATCCGACATGTCTCGTGATCTTGGAGAAGATGCTTAGGAAATGTCTTTATGAAGGTAGGCTTGTGTTTCTTACATGTTTTTCTCCTCTCTTTGATCTCAATTTTCTCTTCAAGATGGCTTGTTTCTTTTCTTCTTTTAAGGATGTTTATTACTTGTAAAAGTATAATTTCTTGTGTTTTTCTAGTTTCTGTTGGATTTTTGTTTCTGGGTTTTCAATAAGAGAAAGAAAGGAATGAAGCTTCTTTCTCATATTTGGGAACTGTATGAAATCTTCAATACTTTCAGCCTTAATTATGTTCTGAATCAAATCATGGGTTACGACAATGTTCTGTTGTAACTTTGTCTTGTTCAAAAGAGGTCAATTTGAGTTCTGATTTGTTTGTATGTGTTAAAGAATGTGTTTTCTTGTGAACGTGTGTTGGTTTATGGTCTTCTAATTTGTTCTAAATGAATGTGTGATATGGATGGTTCATATAACTAGTGACATGCTTATGATATGCATTTTCTTGTTATTATTAATTGTCTTATGGGTGAATTACTGCAATTTCTATGGAGGAACTTATAGGAGGTTAGACTTGCTTTTATTATGTGCTGTAGAATTATAGCTGAATTCTTCACTCACTTCTTAGTATTTTAAGTCTTGCAATTTTTGCATAACTGGTTTGTTTGTTAAAGGTTTAAACTTTTGATTACAATTTTTTTTTATTGAGGTAAAAATCGTTTCAAACTTTCAAGTGATCTTAGGGTTGTATGTAGAGATTGAGAAAAACCAATAAAAACTATGATAAAATGGAAGGGATTAGTGAGCTTGAAATGACTAGAAAAGGGCTCTAACTATTTAAAGCCAGAAACTAGATGCTGAGAATAGGTTGCAAGAAGGGTTTCTTTTCTCTTTAAAGTGTATCTGCAAAGATAAGGTGATTCTTTGGTCTATTCGAAGGGGATTAGGATTGGCTTTGTCTTTGGTGCAGCCATAGGGATGGGGATTGCCTGAGTTGAGTCTGAAGTGAGGACATGAACTTTTGTTTTTAGGTTTTAATCTGTTAATGAGCTAGTTCTCTTTTCGAGAACAATATTCTATAGCTTTGGTTGTTCAAGCTTTTATCTTTTGTTTGTTTTTCATGGATTTTGGTTTGTGCATGTTTGTTGCTTTGTGTTTTCTATTTTTCCACTCCATTTTCAAATAAATTGAGATTTTTTTAAAAAAATTTTTGGAATATGCTATTTGGGAATCTTTTATTTCTATATATGCTTATCAACTTCCAATGGATTTGGTGTTGGAGTTTATGTTTGATTTTGAGGGCTAGCTGCTAGGGTTCAACTATGTTTCCTTCTTTTTTATTTTTTATTTTTGGTTTGCACTTTCCCATTTTGTAATAAGAAAAGCATTTCTTTTCTTTTCTTTTCTTTTTTCTTTTAATTTTTGGTTTGCACTTTCTCATTCTGTAATAAAAAATGCGTTTCTTTTATGTATCTTAGATCATTTTATAATCCTGCACTTTGAGCCAGTCATTGGCTGCATCTATCACTCTTATCATAATTTAGTGCTTTTTCCTTTATGCTTTTGTATTGGATTTAATATTGATGAATCTCACAATTATTTTACTCTCCAATGCCATTCACATTTTTTTTCTCAGCTAAATTTAATTGGATTATGGATAGACCTAGTATGTTCGCTACCTTTCACAACCATTAGCAGAATTTAATTATTTATTTAGATAAAAAAGATAAGAAAAGATAATAGAATAATATAATTCTCCTTCACTTCCTTTCTCTTTATTTCTCAACTAAATATAAATAAATTTGAGCTCATTTTAATAATTCATAAAGACAATCAAATTTGAAGAGTTTTAAAATGCACTCAAACACTTCAATCTGCTTATATGTCAGCTAAATTTGAAGAGTTTTCCCTTAGGTACTCCATGCATAGCTTAAGAAAGAGAAAAAGGAAATTGAGAAAGTGATTAAAACAAACCATAGATGTTTCAACTGATGTTCAGATAAAGCATATGACTTTGTACATATGACTTTGTCTAATTTATTTTTTTTTACTTTTTTATCTTCAAACACAATTGAAATTGATTTTAAAATTACATTTAGATATTTTGATTCGATGATTATATTTTTCATCATAAAGTATACTCCTAGACCTAGATCTAAGGTTTGAATCTTCATTCTCTTTAAATTGTAATCCATTAAAAAAAAAAAACCTTAAAATTGAGAATTAGATTGAAATTGTAAAATAAATTTAGCTATTAAATTAAACGTTATTCCATAAATTTAAGTGTTCAGAAAAAAAAATTCCATATAAATAAGCAAACAACACTAGTACTATGAAATGATACTAATAGAGAAGGTAGAGATATAAATAATTTTTTATACAATTTTTATGTATTATTAAATTAATAATTACACTCAATATAACAAATTTTAAATAGATAAATAAATAAATTATTTAAATAAAATATAATTATGTTATCTCTTATATTTTTCACAAAAGAAACACATAGCCTCTAAATTGTTAAACTATGTGAATAGTAGGAAAGCACACGGATTACTGACGTGGCAGAAAAAAATTTTGAAATCCCGCCCAAGCGCGGACTCTATTTTGTCCATTTATTTTTCCCCTTTGCCTATTTCACGATCCACACCACACCAAATCGGATTGTCTATTTCCTCTCTTTCTCGCTCGCATGTCCTTCTCTTCCAAAAACCCTAACTCTCAAGTAACTCGCTGTAGCGACTCAGTCATGTTTGCACCATTTCGATCGATCTTTAAACAATTCTCATTGATTTTGATTGTTTTTCATGCAGGATTCACCATGAAAGGTGACAACAAGTGAGTTTTATTCCTTGCTTTGCTTTGTTGTAACTTTTGAGTCAATATTTTTTTTGATATCATAGCAATTGTGATCTAAGACCGTCACAGATTTCAGTGTTAGCCTCTTCTGTTTACTGATGTCTTTTTTTTTTTGGAATTTTTTTTCATTGGTTTTGAATAACAATAGTGTAGCGGTTGGAAAAAAAACTAAGAAGGCTGCGAAGGATCCAAACAAGTCGAAGAGGGCTGCCAGTGCTCTCTTCGTCTTCATGTATGAGTGGTTCATGTTCTAATGGAGATTACATAATGGAATTACATATGGGTAGAAAACTCATCGAAAATGTTCATGGATTCATAATTCCGTGGAGGAATTTCTGTAACAATGCGGCTGCCAAAGCGTATAGCACGAACAGCACGAACAGCAGCCAGCCTTCTGCTGTAATATTCTTTCACCTTTTATGCACTTCTTATTCTTAATTCATTACTTTCGATTTCTTTTAATTTTACTTAAATTTGTTTTTGGGGACTCATAATCTTGTGAAGTGGAGTTGTTGATTTGGTTGATTTGTTCTAACATTACAAGAGACTAGTGATCAATAATTTGGTTTTTGGGGACTCTATTTTATATAATGAAAATAGAGTAAAACATAAAGGACTTAAGGAAACAATATACAAAGACAATCCTAACAAACCAATCAATGGTTAAGTTAATTTTGATTAGGAGCATTAGTGACTGATTAGCTTATGAGTAATTTACAAGTTATAAAAGTTAAACTTGACTTAAGTTCGACTCACTTTGTAAATTAGTCAAACTTGAACTCAAGAGTAAAAAAATAAAATAAAATAAATAAATCTAGAAAATAATACAATTTTCTCTTCATTATAAAAAAATTTGACAAATTGTGTTCGTCAATATTGAAAAAAAATGCAGAGAAAATTATAAAAAAAATAAAATAAAATAAAATTGAATTATCAATTGTAAAAAAAAAAAAAGATCTATACTGATGGAAAAAGCTGTCGATATAGATCTTTCACCTATAGGTGTATACAGACGGAAGTTTGAGTTTTTATCAATGAAATTACCTGTCTGTAAATATGAGGGTCTATACAAGTGGAAAAATTCTTAAGATTTCTCAGAGTCTGTACCAATAGACAAGTCTTCCATCTGAATAGTTCCAAGGGTCTATACAGACAGAAAAATTTTTAAGATTTCTTAGGGTCTATACCAACGAACAAATCTTCCATCGAAATAGATCTAGGGTATATACCATCGGATAAAATCTTCTATCGAAATAGATCCAAAGGTTTATAAAGACGGATTAGGCATTGGTATATACCCTATACTGATAAAGTTTCTACCAACTAAAAGTTAGTCTGTTGGAATAGTCCCTGGGCATCTATACCAACGAAAAATGGGTTTATACAGACGAAAAACTTCCATCAATATAGATACATCTCCTTGTAGTGAGTAGATTGGATAAAACGTGAGATATATTGTATCTCATCCTTTCATCCTTTCATCCTATCAAACATGAGATACATTAAGACCGAACATAAAATTTGTTCTATCCCATGCTGTATCTAATACTCCAAACGTGCTCAATGTTAAAGAATTTTAACATCAATTGTTAACACTGTTCACCATCAATTATTTTTCTCTCTTTATTCCATTTTTATGGCTATATTCTTCTGTTTTTATTACTTTTCCAGTTTCTCATTCCTCCTTCAAGTCTTGAACTCTCCTTCAAAGATTGTCAGAATTTGTAACCCGCATCAATAACACTCTCGAAGTGAAATCCTTAAAATTTCAAAAGAAGCAAATCGTGTGCCTTTATTCTATCAACATATGAAGTGCCCCTCCTACCTTCGGCCATAGATCACCTTTAAACCAATGTGCGTTTGGGGTTGCGGTTGAAGGTTTTTTCGTGTACTCGTACAGTATTTTTAGATGTATATGTGTTTGGTAATTTTTTTCAAAGTATTTTTTCTAAAAACTACAAAAAACCATAACAAATCTATATTAATTTTATATATAAAGCAATAAACCTCATTTTAAAGCTTTCTAGTTGTGGTTTTTATAGAGAACATTTAATATTTAATATGATTGTAAAATTACCCATTAAGGGCTTGTTTAGTACAATTTGTGGGAAGGACTTCATGGTTTCAAAAGTATAAACTGCATCAAATATTACAACTAGTGAAAAATGCTACAACTTCTCACAAGCTAGATTTTTTTTTTCATTTCATTGCTAATCTCAAAAGCACCAAATTGGTGCTTCTAGAGGAACTTCTTATTTGGATTTTAATGAAACTAACACATTATTTTTATTTTATCTTCATTTTTCTTTTTATTTACAAAAATAACACTTTTACAACAGTTTTTTTTTTAAAAAAAAACTATATTAAAAGCTTCAACTACACCAAACGAGTACTAAAACTCAATTTTGTATAATTTAATTACATCATAA